ATACTAGTCAAATAATAGAAAAATAAAAAATAAAAAAATAAAAAAACATTGAATTAACCAAAATTCCTGGTCATGTTAATCATATGCTACGTATTATCACTATTCGTGCGTGCGTGCGAGTATTTTACCTTTGTCTTTAATTTTTACTGCAATAAAAAGATTAATGTTAGACAAATTGACATTAAATTTAGTGTAATTAAAATATCACGTCAGTTTATTGAAATTTCTGAGATACAAAAATAGATCTCAAATTTTAAATCGAGAATATGAAATGTTGGTATATCAATATGCATCAAACAAATATAAATAGTCCAAAATAATGAATATTAAGTTGAGACTATGAGCATTTTAAATATCAAAAGAAAACTAATTTAAACAAGCGGAATTTCTTTTCCGCCATTCAGAAAGGACGCAGGTAGCCCCACAACATCCAAGGAGTTAAATAGAGACTACTTTTTTAAGAAAAATTAATGTTAAATATTAATTAAATTTTGTGATAAAGACAATATAGATTAAATTATGCTGGTCAAAAAAATATTGATTAAATTACTGTAAAGGTGCACTTTATCAAAACTAAACACTAAGGAAACCATACATAAAATTATAATAACACAAAAACATGAAAATATATGTAACTAAAAGGGGAAAAAAAGAGAGAATATAAACCGTTCATATACGATATGCTAAAACGGAAGTTTAATTAATAGAATTCTGGCCAAAAAAAAAATTAATAGAATAACACCTTTGGACAAAAAGAGCAAGACTAAAGTAGCGTACCCGTGAGATTGTGGGGTCATTTAGCAGTGTGGCATTGGAAACTCCACTATTAGCATCTGTAGTTGGGCCCAAAAAACAGAACCCATGAGCCCACGAGAAAGAACTCATCTTAAAGTTCTTAGGTCTCTCCTTTGAATCTTCTTTCAAAACTTGAGGTGGCCTTGGCACATATCTCTTGCATTTTTGAAATATGTTAATGAAACTTGGTACTCTAAAAAGTATCACTCCTGCTAGTGAAGGGAGCATTTTGATTTCCTGTTGCACAACTTGGCCTCTATATTCACCGAATATGTATTCTAGCTTTGCACAGTCGTATATATCTAGATATTTCAAATTGGGAAGGTCTCCAGCTAGAAGGAATGAAGATACCTTTTCTAATTTGCCACATTCTTGAATTTCAAGAGACTCTAATGCCGGAAACAATAAGCCATCACTTTTTTGATCATCAACAACCCTCATTTCTTCTTCCGACCTCTTATCTGCAATTAAACTTTTCAATTCTGCAAAATGTTCAACTACTAATTCTTCCAATCGCCCAAGACTTTGAGCAATAGAGGGTTTGAAAATTGATGGTTGGAACATTGGGCAATCTTTCAATTTCAACACCTTCAAATGAGGTAGTTTGAGAGTCTCATCTAAGAATATGTTTTGCAGTTTCCTACAACCCTCTAGCTTTAAAATCTGTAACTTCTCAAGAAAGCCTGAAGGCATAGCACCCCCACATAATTCTTTCACATCCACACTATATAGATGCAACTCAATCAAGTTTGAGAAGATTGTCATGTTACAACAGTGACACTTACTACTATCAATAAGGCACTCTATGTCAACCCATTCATACAAGTAGAGCTTGATTAAATTATCCATGCCTTCATCTTCCATAGGAATAATGTCAGGGACAAGACTTTTCCATCCTGTTTGTCCTAAATTTCCCAGCTCAAGAACTTCTGCTCTTCCCACAAGGTACTTAAACATGGCTTCTGATATTAAATGTTTCATATGTTCTGAATTGAAGCATTTTGATAAGCCATTATCATCATTAGTAGTAAAACTTTTCAAGCCATCACAAGCAATAAAAAAAACCTGCAATGTAGAAAGAGATATATCAGGGGCAATTTCATCTTCAATTTCTTTGTCATCCTCTGGCTTCCAATCTTTGACATTGTCATTCTCAACAAAATACAATTCTTCCAATTGTGAGCATCTTTCAATCACTTGAAAAGGATTGTTCTTTTGAATCTCACACTTCCTCAGCCCCAACCATCTCAACTTCTCTAGTTCCTTAATGTCTTTGGGCAATTCAATAATTAGACAATTTTTTAACTCAAGTGTGACAAGACTTTGTAGACTCTTCAAAACTGAAATGTCACCTAGTTCCCAACCATCCAAAATAAGAGTGTGAATATTCTTTAATGAAAGAAGTGACTGCGACAATGATGGAGTGGGAGCCTTTCTACTGTGTTCACTGAGTAAAAACAGGATTTTAAGCCTTGACATTCGTGCAAAGAATGCATTTGAGTCTTTCACCAAATCACTTCCACTTATCCAAAGAAAGAGAATCTCAAGTTCTGTATTATCGAACTTCTCAGGAAAATCATAAGCACTCCAAAACGCATATCGCTTGTTTGCTTTTAAAGTCATTCTTGAATCCATGATCACTTGAATATCTTCCTTTGCTATCCAATGGGCCACTTCACGAATCAAGTCATGCATTTTTATACATTCTTTCTTTTCAACTTTCAGCAGCAAAGAAGAAGCTATGAGTTTATTTTTCACTCCAAGTGCTTGGCTTCTTGCTGCACAATATTCTTCAAATTCCCCAAAAATTCCTATACCAAGTCTAAAAATAAGATTTATAGGAATTTCATAGTCCTCTGGAAAAATAGAACACACCAAAAAAAGCCTTCGGGCCTTCTCATCATTTAAATTATCATAACTTAATTTCAAGCATTTATAAACAGTCACCAAATCTTTATCAATATCAACAAATGGCTTAGAATTTTTTAAGGTTGTCAAAGCTGCATTCCATTCAGCAATGGGCCAATTTCTTAATGTACTAGCTAGTGCTATGATCGCAACTGGTAATCGCCCACTCTCCTTCACAAAAGCTTGCGCAAGACCCTTCACATCATTACTTAAAGAACCATCATCATCACTTGTAGCATGAAACAAAAAAAGATGCAATGCATCCTCTTTGTCCAATATTTGTAGTTGAACTATTGGTTGGCATCTCATTTCTCGACAAACGCTTAAATAGCGAGTGGTTATCAAAACATAGCAGTTCTTTTGATCAAGTCCAGATGGAATCCCAATGACTGTAAGATCTAGCTTCTCCCAGACATCATCTAATATTATAAGTGATTTTCTTTCATTTTTAGAAATTCTAGACCACAAAAGCTTGGAGTGATCTTCTTGAACTCTATCCTCTAAATGCAAACCTAATTGCCTTGCAATTTCACCTCGAATCTTGTTAACATCCGGAGGGTTGGACACAACAACAAAGATGACTTTCTCAAACACTTTGGATTCTTCAACTTGTTTGCCCACTTGTGTTGCCAATGTGGTTTTGCCCGTTCCCCCCATTCCTTGCAATCCAATCATGTGATGATTTCCACCTCCCAATGCTTCCACAAGTTGCTTGAATTTTGACTTTCTACTCTCAAAGTCAATGTAGTCTTTTGAAGCGTGGTACTTCATACCTGGAAGTTCACCTGGACGAGCCACTCTTTCAAAGTTATATCTTTGGATGTGTTCTTTAATGATTACCGTCCTCTTTGCCAAACTCTTCCCTTGCTGGTATTTCCAATAAGGACACCAACCATAAGACCATGTTTGCTTGATTTTAGTGTTCTTTTGAATTAGATTATCAGCTTCCTCGATCCAATTTTGAACTTCATCTTCAATTTGGTTCTCATTTCGTTGGGCATCTTCAATATCTTTTAGTACTTTTTTCTGCTTTGCAGCCAAACTGTTGTTTTCTATCACAAAGTTATGAACGTGATAATCAAAATCAAGAAAATACCTAGCCTCCTTGATGGTTTTATCCATTGATCTCTGGAAAATACTTGTCGCAGCACTTTCTCCAATGCTCGTCATCTAAAATGAACATGATATCATCACAGTTAAGAGCCTCTTTATTTGTCTACTGTAACACTATAACTTAACAAAAATTAGATATGCATTCAATTAATCAAACATAATTTACAGGAAAAAAAAAAGAAAACTCCAACTTGCTTAGCTTTATGATATTTATTAATTATTAATTAGTTTTTACTTTGCAGTCTTTTTTGAAATATTAAAGTCAATGATCACAATGTATAAAAAAAACAGATCCATTATGCAGAGGTAAAAAAAAAAATACATTTAAACTTTCTAGGCTGTTATACAAGTCGTTATCTATATATAGTTAATCTAGGTTCTGTAGGTTGATGAAGCTTAATTTCATTATTGAATTGACCTTAAAATTTACATAAATACTGTTTAAATTAGAGTCTGCCAAGAAAGAGGAAAACCTTTGACTATTTTTTTAAGGATAAAAAATAAATGATATAAATTTACATGACTAAAATGAAACATGATATATAATTAAGATACATGACTTTTGTTTATATTATTATATGAAAGTAAAAAGGAAAAGAAAAAACAAACCAATCGGAAAATTGGTAAACAGATTACAGAGATCATTTGTTGAAGACATCTAATGATCATACTACATTTAATCAATATCGCTCGCTATTTTCTATGAACTTTTCTTTATTTTGAAGGGTCCAATGTATAAATCTTAAGAAATTGGCGAGTGCGTTATCACTAAGTTACATCCAATTTAAAATTGGCCTGCAGCATATTTACGAATCAAGTCAATGCTCAGTATCACCATCACAATCAAGTCAATGGACAAGCTCTCACTATTAATTTGCTAGTATTTTGTTGTCTTATTCATGTGATCATTAATAAAGTAAAATAAAATTTTTGGGATTTCATTCATACTTGAATTTATATATTTTAGCTCTCATAATTGGTAGGGTCACGGACAAGCTAATAAAAAATGCATATTAAATAAAAAATATAGCAAATAACAAATGGGGACATTAACAGTTAACAGTAAAATGGAAACCGTCAAAGATATACTCACCTTTTCTCCTCTGGAGATTTCAAAGCCGTTCGATGATGCCTTGGACGCGGGACAGAGAAGTGTTTTTTTTTTGTCCTTTTTTTTTTTAAAATTTTTAGATGCGCAATGCGATCAAACAACCAAAAGCTACTATGAAGAACGTAAATACGAACAAACTGCAAAATAAAAAGATAAACTCATTAGTAATGCAAGGCAATTGGAGTGACATCAAGTATGAGATTTACAACTAAATTTTGACAATAGATGATCGATCTAATAATGGGGTGAGGATGTTAAGAATATATAGAGATAAATGACAATATGACATGTTGAAACGTTACGTCCTTCTACTTTTTATTTTTCTTTGAAAAATTTGAAGATAAAAAATAAAGTAAATAATGATAAGAATAATAACTTTGATGAGAATAAATTCTTTTGATTTTATTCCATCACTTATTCGATGAAAAAATTCATTCAGTTGTTTGGATAAGAAGGTTTTACCTTTACACACTTTTACGTAAGGTTGGATTAGAGGTTAGAAAATCAATTTTGAATAAAATTGATTTAAAATTATCGCCTTGAAAATAGATTTGTTTATAATTGATTTTGGCTATAAATGAAAGTAACTATCATTGAAAAGCCAAAATGTTAGGGCCGGTTTATTTCTGCTTTTTATTTTTTTTTCCCAAAACAATTTTATAAAACAAGGTTTGGAAACATTAAACAAAAAATGCTTAGATAATTGTTCAAAAAATTGCATTTTAAAATAAACATATTGAGACTAGAGGAGTGAAACTTTGATGAGAACTCAAATCTTCAAATGGAGAAAAAGCCATTGTGTAAAAGAAAGGATTTCCCAATTTTCCTAAACTAACAAAAAAGAAGAAATACAGAAATAAAAACAAGTAAACAACTAGAAATTTTGTAGGTTTTTTAGCTTTTCAAAAATATTTATGGTTTTTATTTTTTTTATAAAGACTTACCTAAAAACAAATTACCAAACAAGTTTTCTTTTAATTTTTTAAAAATTAAAAAAATATTTTTAAAATAAGAAAATAAACAAGCTCTTACTTTTTTTTCAAAATCAATCCAAGACCATAGTTTTTACGTCAATGAGAGAGGGCTTCTAACATCAAAGGAAATGATTTTGTCAAGATTTTATGTCGATAAAAAACACAACGTATTCTACGTGGTTACACAGAGAAACCAATGTAGAAACGTCTATTAACTTATTATTAAAAAAAAGAAAAGAAAGAAACAACCCTGTTTTTGCAGAGGAGAGACATACTTATAACATAAACGAAAAGTAAACAAGAGATAAAAAGAAAAAGTAATTAATGAACTTACCTGAATTCGCAGATTGTAAATTGCTTAACGTTGTCTTTAACAAAAGATCACTTTGTGAAGAACGAAGGATTTAACAAAATGAGCGGATGAATCAACTTAACGTACTTTCCAGGAAAACAGAGCACAGAGCACTGCAAAATGTGCAGTTATGTGACTTCGATGATGAAAGAGTCATTGCTGCTGGCCACAATGATCATCACGAGTCGGATACGACGACCATGTCTTGTGGTGGGGACCACCAGAAGAACAGCCCTGTCATTGATCCATAATCCGCATGGGCCCTCCCACAGCTGGAACCAATTTGTAGATATTTTTTAAAAATATTCTCTCACATGTGAAATTGTACATTTTTAATTATAAAAAAAAAAGGGAAATGACAAGTAAAACAGGTGGAAAATGCCAAGCAAAAAGGAAACTTAAAAATGTGATGCTACAAATCAAATCAAGCACTTAACACCTTAAAATTATGAAGAAGGTAGTATATGATCTGTTATTTTATAAATATAATTAAATCATTAAAATGTTTTTATATTAAAAATTTTGTTAACAAATTGTGAACTAGTAATAACAAGTGTTAAATAACAAAAGACCAGAAATATACTGACAATGACAAATTATTTATTAACAAGTTATGAATTGATAATGATAAATGCTGAACATCTAATGACACAAAATATATTGATAATGACAAGCTTGATAGCTTTTTTCTTTCCAAATCTGATACAAGGGATTTTAATCATTTAGATATATTCACAAAATATCAGATCATGCTCTACCTCCTTCTATATATGTTATTTCTGACTTTTTTGTGCCTGAACTAGGTAATGATAATTTTAAGTTCTTTCTCTGAAATTTTTCCTAAAACAATCATTGCTTATTAAAAACAGTAATTACGTAATAGGAAAAGTGTTCTGGCAAAAAAAAAAAAACAGAGACAAAAGTGCATCGTTGCTCTTCCAACTTTAGAGGCGTTTGGGTAAAAGCTATGCCTTGATTTTACGAGCCTTGATTTTTTAAATTGCTTAGGGGACCTCCCAAACACTCTCTTTATTCAATATTTTACTCAGATAGTTTCATTTTATAAAACATCTTCTGAGTTCTTTAATCTTGTCACGGTTTTAATTTCTCATATTATGATTTTATGTGTCAATTATTATTATTCTTAAAAAGTAAACTTAATCTATAAGTATTTTAAAATGTTTTGTTAATATAAGTAAACTTAATCTATAAGTATTTTAAAATATTTTGTTAATATAAGTAAACTTAATCTATAAGTATTTTAAAATATTTTGTTAATATTTAAAATTTTAATGTTAGACAGTATTAGTGTTAAAGGACTGAAAAAATATGTGATTTAAATACAGGGGAAAAGAACGATTTTCCAAATCAGTTCTATTAAACAAGAAACACCAGATTTTCATCCTATCCCATTTCACAAGTAAGGAAAAATTATGCCTATAATTTCCCTCACTTTGTTGAATCTTCCTTCGATTTTATTATTAAGCTTGCATGTTCTTCTTCTACACCCACATACTCTGCTTTGTACCTTTTTAATCAAGTTTGAATAACTGATCCTTAATATAAAAACTTGTTTAACATTTAATTTAGTCTTAAATGTAAGAACCAAATTCATTTTGTTTCTCATATTTATCTATTTTTCTCAAAGTAATCCATAGTAATTGTACATGTTAAAGGTTCTATCAGATCATGATTCTAAATAATACACATGATTAACAAGACTATTCTAAAAAAAATAGTACTGATGCATTATAAATAACTAACTTAACAAACTGTAAGTTTAAAATGATCTTGCTATCATATTGAAAATAGTCAAACAATCAATAAATTTATGTGTAGAGATGTCCTTCTCAACTGTGGTTTAGCTATTAAACCTTTGAGTACCCATTTCTCTAGTGCTGAATTAGGATCCTCCGCTTTAATTTCCTTTACTGTTTCCTTCTTACTCTACAACATCAAAAGATATACAATTTATTTATGAATTATTTTCTCTTTTATTGAAGTGCATATAATAAGTTTGATTCATTTCAAAAGCACACTGTTATTTCTAGTGGTTCCCCAAAAAATCTTCCCTAACTAGAAATTTTCGAAATGGGTTGGTCAAGTTAGTATTGTAGCTTTATGAAATGAAAATGATCGTCAATATCAATTGAAAATTATTTAGCTAATCATGAAGAGATTGTTTATGTAGTAGAGCATCATCTGGCTAGTTAAAACACTCACAATCATCCAAAAAAGCGAAATTAATGCTTCCCTTCCAAGTCTAAGTAATGAAGCAGAAGAGAGACACAAACTTGTAATATAATTAAACCCAGTAACAAAGTAAAAGTAAATAAGAGATATAAAGGGAAAGTGATGAACTTACCTGTGTTTTGCAGACTGCAAATTGATCGACGATGCCTTCAACAAGAGATCGACCAGTCTCTTTAGCTTTCTGTTCAAATCAGATCGCTTTGAGAAGAAAACTTGTTGGAGATCACAACAAAGACTTGAACAAATGAGATAAAACTTTAAAAGAATGAATCGATAACGTAACGCACTTAGTCACCAGAAAAATAGAGCACTAAGATCGCACACAGAGCACTGCGAAATTTTAACTTATGAGACTTCAGTTATGGAAGAGTTGTTGAAAGCATAAGTATATGAGATTTCAAGAGTCTTCTTAGATGTCCAGTCACCAAGTCAACTTTGCAAGTCTTCCTCATATTATTATTCTATTTTAATTATTCATCATCGATCGTATTTGCCTTTTGGTTGCCTCTCTCTTTCTCAATCTTCAAATGTGTCGGCCCAATAGGAATGTTTTCTTTATACCTTACTTTGGCATTAAAGCATCTTTTTCCCCACCCAAATGGTCAAAAAGGCTATATTCTCCATTAATCATGCAACACGTTTGTCATCACAGTCAATATTATTGATTATTATAATTCTTTTTTTTTTTTTTTCACTAGCTTCACACAGAAGAACAATCTATCCTTCCGAAATCAAGAGTCAAGACCCTCACATGTACAATATATGAGAATATTTAATGGTAAATTATTGAAATTTATAAACAGATTTTGATACATGGTAAATATAGTCAAGTATCATAAATATGATTATGAAAAAAAAACCTGTTATAAAAAGAAAACAAATATAATAAAAATTGAATGAAGTTAAATTTAAATGATGAAAAACATAGTTATAAACTAATAAAATATTGCCTTCTCCGCTTTTCTACCTGTCTTCCTCTTTATTTCTTTTTATGATGGAATATGCTTCTTTATTTCTCAATCTTCATGTGTGTTGTCCCAGTAGAAAATTTTTCCTTTAGTTCTTAAAGTATTCTTGTTGTTAAAGTATCTTTTTTCCGCACCCAAATTGTCAAAAAAGCATTCTACATTAGCCACACAACAATATGTTTATAATATCTTAGCCTTGGGGAGATCGTCCTTTAATTGATTATTTAAATTTCAATCAAATTGAAGAAACCCTTGTGTAATGAAAAGCGGTAAAGCTGAATAATTCTCGATTTTCAGTCCAAAAAAGGAATAATTAACGATTTTAATTTGATATATATGAATTTGGGTAAACTGGGAAAAAAAATCCGTTATAAAAGAATTTAATTGCTGACCTAAATCAAAGTACCGATATTTTGTGTGCACAAATTACAAAGTACTGATACTATCTGAGCATAAAGATTTACCAGGCCTTCTCATTGATAAAATTGTGTGTGCTTGTTCTTGAGTTGTTTAAAATAAATTCTGGAAGTACTTGCATTATAGTTTCTTTTCTATGTATTATTTTTAGAAAATTGACCAAATATACTAGTTTGAAAGAGATGAAATGGAAACTTCTCTCGTCTATCCAGTTCCATCGTTACTACATTTACATTTCAGTTGTCAGCTAAGTCTGAAATTTCAGATGGATTTTACAGTGGATTTATGCTTTTGTGATTGACCTGTCGCAAATTGTGGTCATAAATTTTTTTTCGCGAAGGAAGTTCATGCCCACGACCGCAGTCTCACATTAGTATTAATATCATACTTCCTTTTGATCAACGAGATTTAAGTCCAATAAAAGGAATAGTTTTTCACAACATTGTGTGTCATGGTTCAAATTTATGTTAGGAGAGGTGCTCAGCCATATTTAGTGCCTGATAGTGATTTAAATATAATTATCTTAAATTAAAAAATACCTATGTCTAGAAAAAAAAAAAAATCAAACGCTCTCTCTTCTCTCTTCTTCATATTTATGTCAAGGAAGTAGTAATAATAAGTACTATTTTGGTTTTTAATGTAAGCCCTAATTAGCTAATTTAAGTATATTATTCAGGATGTTAGTTAAATTAATTAATATAATATGTTTTTTTAAGACACCCTAAATATCTTTCTTAATTCCCTTACTCCTTCTTTCACTTGATTATTGTTAAGGAAATTATCAACGAATAATTGATAAACATGTAAAATAGGTCTTACATATAAAATCGATATCAACTTTCTAACTAAATCCTATATTTAGGATCGGAGGGAGGAGTAATAACTAATGAACTTAATATAATATGAAGTTTTCAAATAAATTAATAAAATTAATTTAAATTATATTTTTATCTATATATTATATAAAGACAAAGGATAACAAAAATAAAGGAAAAATCTCAGTTAAATACAGTTAAAATATTAAAATTTAAATTTTCATTTATACTTTTAACAAATTACTAATCAGACCAAAATGCCTAATTAAGAACTTCTGAATATTTTTCAAAGATGAGAATGCCTTTCTATACTTAAAAAAGAAACGTTGGAGGTAGGTAAGTATAAACGTAATTTCGGTTCTGTTTATTTCACCTATTATTTTTCGTTTTCTCCTCTTATCTGCACTTGACCCTTTCTACTACCATATTTCTGTTGGCGCTCCAGTTAACGCAAAGCAGAATTAAATTCATATTTATACGACCATGTTTTGTTATATTATTTCTCATCCTTCTTTTCCTTCATATTTTTTTAAAAGAAAGGATTTAACTGAATAAAAATTATATCAACTTAATTTTTTTAAAAGCGTATCCCAC